CCGTGAAACCAGACCCACGGAGTCCTTTCAAAACCTGAGCTCCTCGAAAAACGCCCCATCGGACAGCCCGGCCCATGGTCCGCAACATGCTCGCTGCTGCAGACCTGGCCCCGGCATTCTTCTCGGCCCTTAATGGCGGCCCTGCTTGCGCCCCTTCTTTCAAGCGCGGGGGCCGACTGAATGCCGTGACCTCTATTGGTGCGGGCGATTTTGCCGCGTTCATTCCGCGCGACATTATGGAGTGAATACCAATGGCGGACGCCGTGCTCGACGACGCCTTGGTCGAGCCAACGCCGCGCCCCTGCTGCTGAGACACATTGGCGGGCAAGCCCATGATTTTCGCAACTAGCGAGTCGATGCGGGCGCCAGCCCTCGGGTTCACCTGGGAGATCGTCGTCTCGAGGCGGGTTCCCACGCGAGCGTTCTCTTCTGGGTGGAGTTCTTGGCATCATCTGATCGGGCGCACGTGGGCGCTGTGCGCGGCTGGAACGGGCGCGCGAGTGCCTGCGCGAGCGACTCCGCCCATGATGCTGTGGATGATGGCTCTCAGCTTCCCATCCCTCATCGTCGTCATCGTTGCGATGCACTCGCCTCCAAACTGGGCGGCTTGCGGATGGGTCATGCCGTGCGAACGCGAAGTGAGAGCCTTCGCTATGTCCGAGCACATCTTGGACGCGCTCGGATAAGTCACCAGCGCCGCGCGGGTTGCCCCGCAAAGAATCGTCGTCGTAAGGTTGCCTGCGTGCAAAGTTACCAACGACCTGCGGTCGGAGCATCTGCTGGAAGTCCTCCTCCGTAGCCGACATCGTCGCATCAGACTCCCCAGGCGCCCCCGCCATTTCATGGGCCGAATCGGCGGGCGCGCGGAAATCCACGACGAACTCAATCTGCGCAGGTTGCCCCGCGGTCGGAATGCCCGACCAGTCCGCCAGGTTGATCTCGTCGCGGCCAACGTAGATCTCTTCGAAGAGCTCATCGGCATCTCTCGAGTCTCGAGGGGCACGCTGGCACTCAGATACCTCGCGGCCACGAAGTGGGCGGCAGCAGAAGGGTTGTCCTCGGGTCGGGCGAGAAGCGTCTCCCAATCGACATACTGAATGTCCGAGTCACTTTGATCCAAATGCATCGACGGACCCCTGCCTCTTCCATCGCCTCGGGGGCGCTCGCGACGAACGCGCTGTGTATTCTAGCAGATATCACATCCCATGGTTTTCTCATTGGAGTCCTTCGGGCTACCCCGGCGCCCCTTGCCATTTCCGGAGGTTCGCCCGCGGCCTCTACCTGTCCCCGGGAACATGTCTTCGCATCGCGGCCCCGTGCGGGGTGCCAAGAATGCCAGCGTGCCCCTGCCATGTGATCGCCGTCGTTTGCATTTTTCGCTGCCCCCTATTGATGCACACCCCCTCCCCCATGCGAATGGGAGCCAACCGGGAACAATGCCCCCCCCCCCCCCCCCCCCACACACACACACACACACGCGCACACACACGCACACACACACACACACACACACACACACACACACACACACACACACACACACACACCATCCCATGTAACAAAACAGCGCAAAACACACTCTGCCTCAAAATTCTGAGCACGCGCAGCGAACCCGATGCGGCCTCCCCCCACGATCCCTGTCAAACAACATACAGAGTATACTTGGCGGCGGCGGCGGCGGCGGGGGCAGCGGCTGCGGCGGCTGCGAGGGCGGCGGCGGCGGCGGCGGCGGCGGCGGCTGCAGCTGCGGCGGCGGCGGCGGCGGCAGCGGCTGCGGCGGCAGCGGCTGCGGCGGGCGGCGATTCGGCAGCGGCGGCGGCGGCGGGCGGCGCGGCGGCGGCGGCGGCGGACAGCGGCGGCGGCGGCGGCGCGGCGGCGGCGGGCGGCGGTGGCGGCGGCGGCGGCGGATTCGCCCCCAGTGGCTGCCCATCCAAAGACGACTGCTGAGTATGCCGCGGCTCGGGCCAGGCTCGGGTGCCACGCATGTGTTGGGAGGGCGGGCGGGGGTGAGCGAGACGGATTGCGGGCGGGGAGGGGGGTCTTGACCCTTGCTTCTACCCTTGCCTTTTACCTAAGCGCCCGCCGGACCGCACGTCGTACCTTGCGAACTGGTTTCTCCATGAAGCGTCCCCATCGGCGTGTGTGTGTGTGTGTGTGTTTTCTGGTATCCTAGGAACAACCGCTGCGCCCGCTGCTCTCCGGTGAGATGCACAGGCATGTCGGGGTAATCCAGGGCACCAGTCACTTAATCTGATGAGGTGTCGGCGTCAGTAGCAGAGTCAAATTCAGACTCGGCGGGTTGCCCCGCAGAGCCTACAAGGGCAGCGGCTTGGGCAAGGGCCGCCGTTGCCGACGGCCCCTGACAGCGAGCCCAGGAGTCTCGCGACCCCGTAGGCAGGCCACCCGGTTGACTTCATAAAGTGGTGGCCTCAGTTGGGTGTGGATCGTCGTTCCAGACGTTGTTCGCGCGCTGCCCTGCGTTGGCGTTGGTGTGAAAAGTTTCGGCGCGATGGCCGCTGCGAAATGCACCGCCAAAATTGCCGAGGGGGGTGCTCAGCAGTCTGAGCATAAAACCTCATTCGCTTTTTAGTAGAGAGTTAACATACTGCTGGGTCCTTGGCACGCGGTGGTTTAGTGGTAGTAGTAGTCGCTGCGCGCGCGACGTACCATCGCACAGAGGTCTGAACAAGATAACTGAAAGGACCTGGAAGCTGGGCATATTGAAGCCTGCGGCCTCGGCCTCAAAGCGCGCAATCTCAAAACGCGCTAACCCCCGGTCGATCCGCTCCCCCGCATGGGCGCGAAAATCGACAAGAACCGTTTCCGAATTAAGTTGGCGGTCCTCCTCTAGATGTTCGAACTTCGTGCTCAAGAGGAACACGATGTGGGTGGCGCCGTCGGTGTGGCGACCACCAATATTCACGCCACCGTTAACAATTCCGGAAGGTACTCTCATGGCCATGGTCCTAGCGAACCCACTTTGTGCTGCCGCGGCCTCCTGAGAGGGGGCCACGCTGCCTGCAGCCACGTTGGTCCAGGCGTGTACCTCGCGAGCGAATGCCCGGCAAAGGTACGTTACCGGCAGGGCCCCAGTGGGGGGGCGGTAGCACGTGCGCTGTCTCAGCCACGCTGGCACGCGCCCAACAGCGCACCCGATTGCGACCCATAGGAGGCCAAATCTGGTAATACCAAGGCCCCTTAGGTCATGGTCGGATGTTTGCGGCTGTGCGACATAATTTGATGTCGTTCGCCTGCGTGGGGGTGGAAGTTGCGCAATACCATATCGCACGTTGCCACGCATCGCGTCCCAAAGTGAAGTGGTGGGGGGGCTTCGGGAGTCTAGTAGCGCAAAGAGGTAGGACTCATGTAAGAGGCCTCCGCGAGAACGGAGGTGGCACTGCAAGTGTGATTGCGGTTGCGCGTGGACGTGCACATTCCTCCGTGCGGGCCCACTGCGTCCTGATGTTCCACCGTGTCAGTCGCCCAGCAGATAGCGCCGTGAATAGTGAGGGGTAGAGCTTGAGCTGACCGCCATAGGCCAGCTCCGCTACCAAATGCGAAGCTGGTCGCGAGACCCAACCTGAGGCTTCGCCGAAGGCGAATACCATATCTACCTCTGTCGTACCGTAGCAACGATAGTCCCAGAAGTAGGAGATCGTCGCGGGAACGACGGGCAATGTCAAGCGAATATGTTTCTGGTTTGAATGGCATGTAGCGTGCCTCGTGACGAGGCGCAGCCATATGTTGGCGGCCGGCCGCTTGAGCACAAACGGCCGTGGACAAACGCTCGTATCTCTCGCCTTTGCCCCAAACCCCTTTAGAGTGCATATCCCAAGTATCGCACCGCTGAACATCATGAGCGATACCTTTGTCTATGGGATTACGTATCTAAACTATATGACCGAAACGGCATGATGTGTAAGTTGTCTAAGGTAGGTGCTGAAAAGCGCCTTGTATGCCGACTACGCGTCAACAACTAGAGGTAATTTGATCCTCCAGCGTTCCTCGAAACACGAAATGGAAATAACGCCAGGCTCTCATGTGTTCTGTCCGGACCCCTGGATTCGAATATGGGTCCCCGACCATGCATGTCCAATTTGGTCGGGCTCCAATTCGCAGGGCGGTGCTCTGCTAATTTGCCTCAAAGCATGCGCTCTCGCTGCTCCTCACCTCATTATCAGAGCCAGCGTTGCTTTTCGAAGTGGCCTCAAAGCAAGGTTCCCCATCCTGCTCGGGCTCTGACTCGCAGAAAACCGCTCTGCGAATTGGCCTCAGAGCGCGTGCGCGTTCATTGCTTCTCCTCTCATTAGCAGAGTGCCGCTCTGCAAATTTGACTCTGAGCATGCATGCGCGCTCGCTGCTCATGCTTTGCTGACCAGAGAGCCCTAGAACGGGCCAAGACGGCCCCAATTTGCGCCCAAAAAGGTTCGAGAGGCCTCCAAGACTGCCTAAAGACGCTCGGAGACGCCCAACGTGGCCCCAATACTGACCAAGAGGCCCCACATAAGCCATTCGACTGCTCACAAATGACCTCCAAGGGGGCTCCAAGATGAAAAGGTCACGTATTTGCCTGGGTGTGTTCGATGTGCTTTGCGTTGTCGCGTGTCCGGGTTTCCGATGCTCCAAAATGGCCCAGAGCCCCTCAAAACCGACCCAAGACGGTCCAAGGGACCCCCAAGAGGGCCCCAAGGCGGCCCAAGAGAGCCCCAATACAGCCCAAGATGTGCCGAAACAAACCACGAGAGCCCCAAGACTGCCCCAAAAGGGGCACCACAATTCGCGCCTTCCGCCCCAAGAAGCCCCCAGGAGTCCCCAAGAGGCCTCCGAGGGGCCCGAGGCGGCCCCCAGGAAGCCCACGAGGCCTCCAAGAGGCCCAAGAAGAGGCCCCAAGAGGCCCCCCCAAGAACTGCCTCCAAGAGACCCCTGGGAGGCCTCCCATGATATCCCAACGAATATGAACAAATGTCTCTAACCCACAAAACAGAAAAAGAGGGATGTGC